GGGAGAGACGGGGATCACATGAGTTTAGGTATAATATACTTGATCTCATGTAATGCATGCGGCGAGGAATATATCGGGGAAACGGGTAGACCACTTTGTGTCCGCATAAAAGAACATCGAGATGGAAAAGCTAAAATCCGTTTAAACACCCCTTTAGGTACGCATAGAGCACAAAAGCACAACGGCGATGATTTTGAAGTGAATGAGCGGATCCTAGCGCAAGAATCGAAAACATCAACGCGCAAAACTCTTGAGGCGTTTTAGATAATTTTTAAAAATCCAAAGATGAACCGGAAGGACGAATGCCTCACTATCACGCGTGACCTGGCGCCCTATTTCAAAATGATATTTTGACCCCAGGGCGTGTCTTGCCCGCGTGAACTACGTGTGGACCAGTACCGCACGTAACATCACGGTGAGTGGCCTTTCTGTTCAATATGGCGTCTATTTGAAAGTTTGATCTTCATTAATACTTTAACCTTCTTTTCCACCGAATAATAAAAAGTATTCTAACATAAAGTACGTCCAGGCTCTGAGGAAGGCGAAGTCGCGGAAACGTCAGCCATCGATCACTAACATCAAAAACAACGACAACGAACATCTGTACCAACCTCGCGTCAGCTTAAGAAGATCAGTTTGTAAGATCACATAAATAAATATGTTAAGCGTTTGTTCTCATTGTTCTGCTGTTGCCCTAAGCATTCGTTTTAAATCGCAACTGAAGAACAGTGAAAGCACATGAGTGCTCTGCCCTGACGCCTTCTATTGTCACCGAAGTTCGCAACAAAAGAAATGATGACAGTGTTCGGAATTGAAAATCATACATGACTCTTACACAGCAGTGTCCTCTGCCATAGAAGAGGCGGAAAGTTTTGTACCTTTTTCGCATTAGGAATTACAAGTCAGTTTCTTCAACTTCAATTCGGTCAGCCATCTCAGCCTTTAAGACTCAGGCATGGGCGCGGGGATCGATTCATTGTGTGCATCGCAGTGGCGCCTTCAACCACTGCTCCACACGCGCCCTTTATTTGAACATTATATACAATGATGTTTCTAACAACACCTTTTTCTAATGCTAGTCTTTGACTTAAACTTCGATTTTGATGATTTTGAGGAAATAGTCAAGTCATGAACTGTGGACAAAATAATGTCTTTCTTGACTTTCCACTTCGACATCATTATACCGCTCCCATCCTCTGCCGCTATGAGCTGGACACTACTCCATTTCCAGTGGATGAATTGTTTCGTAGGCCCTTTTCTGTTTTTCTTTTCCAGTATCAAATAGAATAAGTCGTTCTCCTCGGGCGTCCATGTGCTAAATACGTGGATGGAATTCATGAACCGCAGGACATTCGCTAACGAGACGGAATTCCACTGATTGATCAACTTTTTCCCTCTTGATCCATTTTATTACGTTCCGTAGTAACCATCACCGGCAGTTGTTTGACAGTGTGAGAAATCTATGTGAATACGTCGGTTTAACATTTCCCAGAAACAAGGTCACCTACTTACTCTACATGATAACCAAAGCATCCGACGCCATCGCAGTGATGTAACGATAAAGCTACATAACAGCTTCTGAGCAAATGTGAATCGGTGATCGCTAACTGCTCGTCTGACTCTTTCATCTCTGAAGGACTTGGAAATGTTGTGATTCAGATTTATGGCAGTGTACTTGAAATAATCGGAAAGATTGCGATTAAAGTTCATTTCTGATGTATTGATTTCTATATAGGACGAAAAATACTTTAACAAGACAATAGTTTTGCAGAATAATCGAGCGATGTTTGGTTTTAAGTCTTCGCTCTCATAGGGTGGTGGAGACAAAGTCACCCGTTGAAACGGTTGTTTTGTCGCCGCAACCTGGAATATAAAACAGCTTATGCTAAATGAACAGACTCATACCTACAACTTTGCTCGTCGCTTCCACTGTATCGCCAACCTCCACCACTATTCATTGTCTCCAAGAGTGCTGTAGGCTGGAAAATCAGTGATACTTCGTCTGTGGCACTCTTAAACTAAGAAATAACCTACTCACTGTTCTCTAGAATATCCGCCGGTCATTTAATCGACTACCTTGTCCGCTTTTTAAGATTACAATTGAAGTTCCTTGTTGAAATCTCGTGGAAAGACGAGAGAGAAGTCGTCTGTGTTCACGCCGGTAAAAGCGATGATAACCACCGATGTCGTTGTGAAAATTTTAAAGAAATTTGAAGCAAATATCCCTTCATGTGTGCTATTCTTAGTTCTCGTTCTAAATTGACTGTTTATAATATGCTGATCTTTCTGAAAGGTGGTTGGCAATGATTTTAGGCTGGTTGAAATTATCTCCCCGAATTAAACTTTGTGCCACAGGCAACAGTAGGAACTCGTGATCTCGTCGAAGGATAGGCCAGGAAAGAGCTTTTAAACACGTAATGCACGGATGGTTCGGCAGGTTTTGTACCGCAGATGTGAGCCCTCATGATGAAAGAAGTCGTCGGCGTCTATCAGCAGTTGGCAGAGATCTCCAGTTATTAGAGCTGTAACCAGCACCTTTTCGAGAAGTTGTGGAAAAGCTCATTATTCACGGCCCAGAAGTTGTTCGCCATTTGGAACTCATTAGAATTATTAGAAAACTCGTTGAATAGTTATCTCATGAATTGAAGGAATGGCATCGAGGTCGTCGTCACGTATGCTATTCTGAACTTCTACTCAGCAAAAGTGACATGGTTCTCAGTCGCATTGTCATGTACGATGGGAATAGGATCCTTTAACGCAACTGAGGACGTCCAACGGCAAGTGACATATAGGATAATATAATGCTCATAAACGTTTCTCAAAACCGAGTTTATATCAGAAAACAGTGCTATTTTCTCAATTTTAGGTATAAGTTTGTTTACGGCAACTCAGTTCCCTGAATCTTGGGAAAATCGTCACAGCGGAGAAATATCATCATAAAGTCAATGATATCCCGCAAAAACTTAGCGCATGTATCAAAAAGTAGTCGAAAGAAAGAGCCCATTCTTCTTGAACCCTCGATCGCACACTGTAGAACTAACGCTGCTAAAGCTGATCAAATTTAGTTCCAAGCTTTTTTTGCTCAACATACTCATTGGATCCTCTCCTAACCAATTATCACTCTTTTCAAGCTACGTGACAACTACTGACTAATAAATCTTCGAGAACTAAACTGCTACAGAAAACACCATTGAATAATCCATCTCTTCTAGAATACCTGGACTTTATGCTATTAGAATAAGTGGATATGCATCTTAATAAGAAAGTATGTAGAATTCAATGGTTCTTGTTTCGATTAATATAATTAGACCTGCGACGAGTTACTAATCGAACAAAATTGGCAACAGTTCTTTGTCTGTCTTACAAAAACCAACTTTTATTCACAGCTTTTGTTCTCTCTCTGAACAATTCTGTCTTCCGAATATGTGCTGTGACTCCCACTGAACTAAAATGTTCTTTTACAGACTTTTCAAGTGAAGGAAGCACTATGGGAGATCAAACAGTGGAACCTAAAGAAGGCATACCGCCGACGGATGTACAACAATCCGTGCAACCACCTGTTGGAGCCTCGGTCGACGACGGGAAACCAGTTTCTGCGCCAGTGGGACGCATTGCTCACATGGAAAACCCACTGACGAAACGGCGGGTCAGTTCGATTGAGGTCGTCAAAGGCGCTCCACCACCGAAAAGACAATCATCGGTCGTGGTATTCGAGACGCCTGATATACCAAAGTACGTTCTTTTCGGACGCTTTCCGCAAGTATTACTTAATTACTTTCTAAATATTATATAAGAGCTCTAGAAAGGAAGAGTTCAAATCGAAAAGCACACATGATTTATAGCCACGAAGACCACAGTGGCTGAATACTCAGCCATCTTGGGTAATGCGATAAAAACAAGCGGTAAAACAGGTATTCAGTGAAATCACCGATTTTGATAAACACTGTAGACAGGAGAAAGTGATAGATGCAATAGTGTTTTGTTCATCAAGAACTAAATGATGACCGTGAACTCGTCCGTCCATACTTAGATCATCGCATCGACGAGCGTGTTGTCCTAGTTGCTACGACTAATTGATCAGATATCTCTACACGTATTATCACAAGTGCTCACCGCTATAGTCCACTTAATATATCACTTTCTTCGTCCGGAAGTTCTCCGTAACCCTTCCATGCTTTCAAATCCTAACTTTCTCGATGGCTAGTATTTTGCCACATTATTTTCATGACAAAAATAGTTGCCGTTCTTAAAAAAGGACCAATTCCCTGAATCCTTAGCCATTAGATGGAGATTCATAAGTAAAATTCATCGTCAGTGAAACGATAGAATCTTACTGCAGTATGGTCGGAGTATACGTTCAGTTTTTTTCCTTTTTTTTTAATTCATGAGAAATTGTGATCCAAATGGACCTTATACTTAAGCGTTTTCCTGTTCGGAAAAATAGATTGTTTATCGTTTATACAAAGAATAAAGTTGTCGTCGTTGAGCAACCCTTGAGGAATGCGCTATGCATTCCACTTCATTAGGCATCGTTAGAGATGACTGAATGCATATCTGGCCTTTACAATTACTTGCGGTGGCCTACCGATATATCGATCCAGTGCTGCTACCCTCCCAGACAAGTCTAGTACCAACCTGCCGACCCCGGAGGAATGGAAGGCTTGGTGGGCCTGGGCGCGGGGGTCGATTCCACGTGTGTGTAGCAGGGCGCCTCCGACCGCTGCGTTACACGCGCCCTTTATCGTTTGTACTTTCGATGATCGTACACTGATTCGAGCGGCTGTCACCATTCCTCCATGTTGCGCTTCAGGTTTTCACAATTACGGTTCACTTTGGTCTTCATGAAGAAAACTAACCATCGGAAGCATTTGGTATCAGATCCATCTGATTTTCGACACCTTGTATACTATGGTGTTGCTGATCTTCAATCTCCGACACAAATCGGAATTTCTTATTCCATTTCGCATTTGCTCTATCGAGAGTGAATCAAGCATCGGAAACGAGTCGCCTTTCCTAATGAGTAGCCTTCTCTTCATGTCCAAGCAAAGATCGGCGGTTTCGCAGACGCTGGCGAGATCCGTTAGCATTCATTTCTCCTGATGTTGGTATTTTTATGAAGCGATAACATTAGCAATACAGTGAGTGTCACGGAAGATTTTCACTCCCTATATCATATTCAAGTTTCCGACGACCGCTCTCAAAGGAAACGACAAATGATATTGCTGATAAGGCATAACTCTGTCAAATCTGGGTTTTCAACCAACTATCGTTGCACCACTGAAAAATTTTGGAGTTGATGCATGGCTCATCAAAATTGATTTTGAACTGACCATAATTGCCCTGGTTATCCGAGCCTTTCACGGGAAGAAAGAAGGACCTTCTTTATGTTAGCAAAAGTGATACATAAAACATTTTGTACTTTAGTGATATTTCAATGAGTTCCGTAAGCATGTGGGTACGATCCATCTCAATGAACCCTTTCTTCACATTGCCTACATACATGACCTGTCATTAACATTATTGCTGCATGATAGATGAGTATCGCAAAAAGCTCAGGAACATCGATTAGACGACATCTAGCAGTGCCATATAGGCCTCTCTTGTTTGATTTTCAATGACCGAATGAACTGCTAATTGTGCTTACACAGTAGTGGTTAGAGACGCTTTGTAACAAGCATTGGAATTGGGTCTAGTTCGTTCCCGCGCTCCAGGCTCACACAGCTCCGTGTAAGGTTGGCAACTTGGTAGTAGACTTGTCTGAGAGAATAGCAGCACCGACTTGATACATCGGCAAGCTACTATAAATCATTGTGTAGACTAGATCTGCATTCAATCACCTCTACGGTACATGACAAAGTCGGATACATGGTGCATACCTACGAAATTTATCTATGCCAAGTGCTTCTCTACATTTCAAATAAATTCCAATCCAACTGGAACAGTGTATCTGATCCTGCTGGAAGTGATTTTGTACGATTCCTCACCGATGAAATAGCTCTTCGGACTTCAGACATCAGACCCGCAACGATAACATATCCAACAGTTCTAATTCGGTATGAATGCAGATAGTTTTGGTTATCAATCTGATCAGAGCCTAAGATTGCCCATCTCTGAACAGTGACTGCTAGTTAACTCGGAGAACAATGATTTATATTTTATGACTGGCAAAGGCCCAGTGAGCAGTACGGATTGTAGAGCTTCTGGAACCTCTTTTAGTGTTACTGCACTCCTTCTCCCTTGATATTCTTTTATCGGTTCTCTACAGAGCTATGGAAGCGAAGACAAAGAATGGCAGTTTACTTTTGCCTCAAAACCTCCGGTTACCCATAAAATGTGCAAATTTCTCCAAGTGCTTATTTTTTGGAGGGTTTCCGAACGCTCACTTACTTGCTTCCCAATCACCTGGTTTCATGTTAGCGGTTTAATCGACATGAAACAATCCATTTATAAGCAATCGTGTACGGATCACAATGCACGTATCCATAAATACGTCCATAAGCATGAGTAAGGTGCAATCCAATTCAATTCAACAGAGGCTGATCCGATATCCTTGACGTAGGACGTAGGGAGGTGATCCTGGTTATCCAGAAAAGAACGTAAATCGTTTCCATTTGCTGGCTTAATAGCCTAAGACAATACTAATTGTTTGAATTCACTTGCTCATCCCCGCAGAATGCAGTGCAGTTTTTAGTCACCTCCAAAACTTTCTTCATATCAATTGTTCTATACATTCCGATCCTCTTCGTGAGAATAAATCGTAAAGTCGCTCATTGCTAGAGCGATTTTAAAGAGATAAAGTGATAAGGTCGAACTCTTCACTGCTGATGTCATTATATCTATGCCGTACTATATGATAATATACTTGAGATCACTTTCAACTCATATTCTGTGTCTCGTTTATTTTGTTGTCCAGAAAATTCCTTCCACTTTCCATGCTACGATAAGGCCAGTTAAATGGTGTTTGCAAATCGCTCCTCGTTCTTCAGAATCTACCATAACTTAAGTTAATGCGCTTATGTTAACGAAAGTGGCGAAATATGCGAGAATAACTGAATAACGAATTCACGACTTCATTTCCAACTGGCCGGCATATAGTTCTCATAAATCGATAAGAATCAAGTATTTTTTGTTTTTATTCTCTTTTTTTGAAAGTTTCTCTAAACTAGTTATATATCGAAGCCGTGGATTAGCTGAACATGGTGACTGGAATACCCTAGAATGTCGGATTTGCTAGTATTTCAGTAGATGCATTACTTATATATTTATTGACTTTTTTATATGACCCGTCTTCACAAATTGTGCAAACCCCAACATTTCTTTCATTCGATTCGCTGCATTGCACCTGTCATGAAGGAATTTGTTCAGATTTCTGCATGGTTCCTTTAGTTGTTATTCCTAGAATCCCGATATATCCTTGCGTTGATAACTCTTCAGCAAAACCAGTCTCCGGCACTTGTGTATTTGATACAGACTCGTTTCATCGTAACTAGGATTCTTCCATGATGACAGCGACTCCTGCTGTCATCAACGATTGTCTTTGTACTTTTCGCGCGTCGGTTCGGCTGCTACTTGAAGACTGCCGTGTTTCCTATGAACGTCGTTGAATGCTCATCGAGTGGGTTCTCCTTTGAGTCCTGGAACAGCCTGGCTACAGAGTGCTCACTTGGACCATAGGCAGTGAGTAGTTTCCACACAAGACTAGTACAAATTTCCCAACCCCGGAGAGATTAGGGGCTCGGTAAACCGTTGCAGGGTCGAACCAGCACAGTACTCGTGATGAACGGCATCACTTCCACTGCGCTACCTGCCAAAAATGTGTATATTGTAGCACGATATGTTAAAATGTGTGACATACACAATGGCATCCGTTTGGTCAATCCCAGTTCCAATGCTCAGGTATATTTGCGCTTAAAAGTGTTGATTCAGTGGTCCAAATTACGTCGATCGAATATCTAGCGCTCCTTCGTCGGAGAAATACCTAAAAGGCCATTCATGTACTTAAAAAAAATTTTGATCGCAACAATTTAAGATGGGAGTTACCGATCCACCAGGAAATATGCTCGTACTCTTTAGGATAGATCTCGCTTAACCCAAAGCTCCGTAAAGATGGAAATAGACGAAAACATCGAATTTGCTAAAATCACAAAATTGCAAAAGAACATGTATATATACATATATGCATATATATATATATATATATATATATGTATATACGCATACGGAAGGCAGAGATACCATCTGCCATCCCGTTGATCGCCGAGTGACTTGAGGGGTGCCAGTAAGTCTTCCATTTGTCACTGTCGCGTGCAAGAGCAGCTCGGTAGGTTTTGATCGTTCTACGGATTCGTTTAGCATCATATCTTTCTTCATGGATTTTCGAGAAGAATAATTCCTGTATAAAAAGTTGTACAGATAATGATATAGAAATTCAGCAGACATCGCTATGTCTCTATCAAAGCCATAAGAAGAACTTAATGGGCGATACCAGAACCAGATTCACGAAAATTGCTACACTAATAATGTCGTCTAATAGAAGACGGTATTGTTCTACAGAGTCGTACCATCACATGTTTCGAACGATGGCCACTTTTTGATGAAAAGATAGGGAGCAGCGGAGTACATGAACCATGAGTACAATGTTGTTCACACTTATTCCTTGCTTATTGAGGATGCCATCATCACCAATAAACGGTAGGCATTCTTAGCACTACCAAAAAAACCCAATAAATTATAGTTGCCAAAATGGCCTCGATCCATTCAGTCTAGACCCCTTATAAATGAACGGTGATATTAGTGAAGCACAGAGATACTATGGATGGAACCATGCTATTAAGTAATCACA